TAACTGATTCTGATTAGTCAATGTATTCTGGAAGCAAAAGGGTGATTTAAATGATCCTCAAATTTCTCTTATCTTCTAATATTTACCTGTTGTGTTAAGATTTTATTATAAGCACATTTTCAAAAACAATGTATTTTTAAGATTGTTGAAGTCCAAGAAATTAAACAGTAAATAAAGAGACCCACTGCCTTCTCCAACCTCACATGAATCAGACATCAATCAAAATCTCAGCTTTTCCTGCAAAACCTGCAATATATGTTAGACCTCCAACTAGAATCTCAATAAAGAGCTTTGCTTTTCTGGATAAAAATATTTTTATAAATGTAACCTTTATTTTACAGATTTTAATTGGCACCATATTTTAGAGCTGACATTACACTGATTGCTATGATTGCATTCATGTCACCCATTCCCAGCCAGGAGTTTCTTTGTCTAAATGTTACAAAAGCCATCAACATCATGTACTTTGGTGGTTTGAATTTACACTTTCAGCAATCACAAAGCCCTACCCAGAAATATTCATTAGTAATTGTATTTGCGTGATTTTATTTACCAACTAATTAGAATGACAATTTATTACCAGTATGACAACAATTAACTTAGAATTAACAGAACAGTACAGCTTTTCTGGTTGCAAAAAAAAAAAGAAAATCATTTTTCTCCCACTCTATGGGCCTCATTTCCCACAACTACTTACTCTTTATTTTCCCAGACATCTGAATTCTTCTGCTGTCAATTTCACAAAGGTCTTTTTAAGATGAATTCGCTATATATCAAAAGCAGCTGTTTAAATAAGCATTCGGTACTGTCAGCTTTGCTCTTGATACTTTCCATAGGAGCAGCTAGGATAGTCTTACCATCAGTCATGGCTTTCCTCCTTATACTTTCTTTCTTTCCAATCAAAGTAAATACGCTTTTACAACCAGTATTACCCTGCAAAATTTTCTTCATGTTTAATGAATGTGATCCTTAGTACATTGTAACAACGAACCAATGATAACCCAATTTTCCCTCAGAGACCGAGTTATTGTATTATTTCATTCATATATTAGTTGATGCTGTCTCAGTATCATTCCTTTGTCAAATGTCAGTAAAGTTAGTAAGAAAATAAAGGTTCTTCTCTGGTAGGATGATTTAATCATTACCAGACCAAGCAAAAGTTTATTTAAATTTGAAAATACAATGTTTAGAAAGCATAAATGCAACTAATTATACATTCCTACCTCCAACATTTCCAAAGATAACTTCATTCTTCCCATTCTTTCATTAAAAAAAAAAAATCTGGTGTCTTAAGATAAAAGGGCCACAAAACTCCAAGACCTAATCCCTGCTTCAGGCTAATGACAAAAAATATTTTTCAATTTTAGTTCATGTCTTGGAAAAAATTCCCTTGACAGAAAATGCTCTGAACAAGACTCTGAAAGGCAAGTATATTTGCTTCATCTAAGTTTTTCAGGATGACAAAGGAGAGAAGTCAGGAAGAAACATAAAAAGTTGAATTAAAATATATCTGCTTCAGATACATTAAATATTTTTTAGTATACTTAACAACTTTAAGTATCAAATTTTATACTATAAATAAATATTTGAATGACAGAACACCTTAGCCTTCTACAGCCAGGATTTAAAAGCATATCAAATTTATTTCTAATCATGTCACTGAACTGCTACTGTTTTCTGGACTGCAAATAAATGACTTATTCATAATAATGTGACACAGTTATGTATGATTGATTGGTATGAAATAGAAAGGGACTTTGTCCTCATCAGAGATTAGAATAGGGCCTGTCCAGTGAATGCTGTCTGTCCATGTGCAGTTAGCCAGCTGAGTTACTGATTGCCCTTCTGGTAAAAGACTCAATAGACTTTTCTCAGCATAATATCTACTCTATAATAAATTCCCAAATCTCAATTGACTCTGTTTTAGAGTCATTTCTAGATTCCAATTTACTACAATACAATGACTTCACCCTTATCTTGGACTTTTAAGAATCTCATCATGATTTATCAAGTTTTAAGAGAAAAAGGATAGGCAGACAATTCTCAATTTTTGTTTCTTTTACAGAAGAAAATGCTACCATTGATAAAACAATGAGTAGTTTAGGACTCTTTCTGCCTGTACAGGCCTTAAAGCTTTTCCCTTTCTCTGCTTTTTCCTCCCGTTTCAATAATTAGGCCAGGGAATAAAGAAAGGAATTTCTAGTCCAGTGGTTATGCTCTACATCGTATCATTTTGTTGCTGTTCTTCCTCTAGCCAAAGAGCTCCATTATTTAGCAGGAAAAACAAGCAGCGAACTATCTATACATCCCAGTATTATACCCAGCGGAGGGCTGAGAATCAGTAAGTTGCTTCTAAAAGAGCTCCCATTACAGGGAAGGACTATGGTGGAAAGTCGGGAACCTCAGCGCTGTAGCAGTTACTCTGGGTTAGTTAGGCTTTAGTTATAACTAAGTATAGGGAAAATGTAGTGAATTCATTTAATGAATGAGCATTCATTTGAAAACTGCCTTTTTGGATAGCCAATGTCATCTTCTGGAGTAATTAAAGTCAGTCTGAGACATATTTTTACTTAGGTAATTTCAGTTACTTTTTCCTGCTTAAGAGTTTAATGAATTACTAATTCTTAAAAAAAAATTAAGAACAGACATCTACTATATTGACAGTGTAGTTTTGTACACTGCAATTTCTACTGAATGTTGTATTTCCTTTTTTAAGTGAACTTCTTCCTTTGACTACCTGATTCTAACAGTCCCAGTTATGCTGGTTGGTATTACTTGAGCAGTGTAGTCTACCATGCACTCTTAAAAAAATCATTTAACTGCTTGAAAATTAGTTTAAATCTTAAAATATTCATTTTAAACATTCTGAAATAATGAAAATATGTTCTGAGCCTTCCATTTTTCTCAAATTCAGTTCATATAAATTCTGACTCCATTACTGAATATTCAATCTAAATAGTCTATATACACATTCATGAAAAGATTTTTACATCAGTAAGTTTATTCTGCATATATGCCATTCTGTGTTAGTTATATAAGTAATAGGCAGATCTCTACTTCACATTAATATTTTAGCTACAAAATCAATAATGAACAAAATCACTGCAAAAAAGGCTTTACATGTAAACTTACCCTATATATTAATGATATGATACACATTTAATAATAAATATTCACAAGACTCAGAACTTAGAATGTGGTTAGATAAATAGACTAAAATAAGACAGAACTGAAGTTATGACTAATCCCAGTAAACACTTCCCACTCTATATTTGCATATAAAATAGACTGCAATTCCCTGGTACCATTACTTTTTTTTCTTCTTAAGCAAAAGTAATTTACTATTAAATATTTAAAGAATCAAAATAAAAATAACTTCTAAATATGCAAATTACTTAAACAGATGGTAACTGCTACACATCTCAAAGGAGAGTTTTAACTTTGATACTTAAAAAAAAATAAGGATGTAAAGCAACCTATACAAAAAGTTATGCCCAAATAAGACTTGATTTGAAACAAGACTACCTTAATATCAATATATCTAAGACATCTGTAAACATCTCATATTTTATATCAAATTAATTCAACTACAATCACAAAACATTTGCATTCAGTACTTTGAGATACATCCTTAAATAGCTTTTGTTTCCCTCCCCACCAACCACAATTTAGGACCTTGTTGAACAGTTTCAATATGCTTTTTGTGTGTGTGCCATAATTATATTGCTGTATGTAGATTGATACAGTGAATGATAACTACAGGCAGAACTGTAGAAGCCTATATAATATTTGTAATTTGTACTTATGACATATGACTTCTAATTCTGATAGCTCCAACTAGGTAAATACAGAGAATGTAATAAATATCCTTTTATTTCTTCCTCTTTGTTTATTCCTGCTTCCTTCTTTCTTCCCACCACAAATATATAGTCTTGAGTTATAAATGAAAATACATACAAATATCAAAAACAAACTATGGTTACATAATGGGAAACATGGAGGGAAGGGATAAATCAGGAGCTTGGGATTAACAAACACACACTATTATATACAAAAGAGATAAGCATCAAGGACCTACTGTATAGCACATGGAATGCTACTCAATATTCTGTGACAGCCTATACAAGAAAAGAATCCAATATAAAGAATATGTGTATATGTTTAACTGAGTCACTTTATTGTGCCCCTGAAACTAACACAATGTTGTAAATCAACTATACTCCAAATTTAAAAAAAAAAAAAACAATTCAAAAATCTTAAAGAAACTGATGAAAATATACCTTTCTTCCTAGTTAGGACTTCCAACAGCAGAAAGATATCTGATGTTGGAAATTTAGTGACAATACCAAGGTTGATCCAAACATAAGTACACTGTTTTCAGTTTCAATATTTTAGGACACCAGCAAAAGTGAATCCTGATGGCCAAAAGGAGACTATGTACCTCTCCAAGTAAATGACTTATTTCCTTCTAACTAACACTGGCATTAGGAATAAGACTGTCAGGACAAAGTACTGGAAAGTGGCTGCAGGTGCCCCAGACTCAAATCTATAGATATATTTAGAGAAAAGTGGAGAAAGCTGGCTATTCAAGATGAAAGGCCTCAGAAGGCCTCTGTCAAAAGACATCACCTTGTGATTACAAAGGATTAAAATAAAAATAAACATCTTTGCTGGTGCAAATGGTACTGACAAAAATTGGGTCTATAATCTGAGTTTTTCCACCTATACGTGTTTGATTTGATCCAAGGTAAGCTGCAAACAAAAAATGAATAACATCAGAAAGTACAAATCAGCTTAAGGGTCAGGGTGAATAAAAAATCTGAGAACACAATATCTGTTTCTCCTTTTTAATTCCTTTAGAAACACAATCAACTCTAAATATGTTTAACCTCAAGTTTTCCACAAGAATCTGTTGTAATGGGTATCATTCATGTATCTACCACAAAGATCTGATACTAAGATGCTTTGACCAAATCTTAGATAGTTGGTCAATTCTTTACAAGTTATTTGTTTCCTGATGATCTTTCTGTGCCAATGTCTGAAACAAAAACATACAATTTTTCATGAGACAAATGAAATTCTTAATAAAAGAATTACATAAAATTCATGTAAATTTAGCACAACTGGGCATTTCTAAATTTTACTATTGAAAGTTTTAATAAAGATATAAATCTTAGAAAATACAACTTTAACACAATCTATTGGAAAATTTTGAATAAGAAAATGTTTCTGGAAAATAAATATGAAAGAAAACAAAGTGTATTAAATTAAAACTATATTTTAACGTGCTTTAAAGCTAGCTATATATGTCCTCTATTAAAATAGAGCATGACAAATACTTGTTCATTTTATAAACAACCAAAGAAGTTAAAAGCAATTTGAAGTGTTCCCACACAATCTGAAAATAGGTTTCCAATAATTGAATCCAAAATTCTTGAAATCATAAAAATCATAATAAGAAAGTTTTACGGTCAAATATAATAGAAGTATAATTTATTCCTAACAAAAACAAAAAGCTTTTAAGCATTATGATAGTTAAACTTCTTCAGTGCATTAATCCTCTAATAACAGTTTCAGTCAAGGGGATGTTGTGAGGTCAGGTTTAAATTTTTTTTAATTTATATTCTCTTTAAATATAACCTGCCTTATGCAGCATCAATTCTCCAAGACTCAAAACATTTCACAGGTTCATATTTTTACTTTAGTTTTGTTTTTTTGTATCTAGTGCAAGCCCACATGAAGGGCAGAACATTAATTTAATGAAATTTATTCCAGTAAAAACATTCTTATCAGTAGGTAAAAAAAATTGCTAAACAAAAGTTAAACAATCAGTGATGGCTTACCAACTCCAAAAATTCTATTTCTGATTGGAGAGCATCATAAACACTTTGCATGTCATCTTCCTTATAAAGTTCTAATTCTTTTTTAAGTCTGTTTTAAAGGAAAAATTCACTCGAGTAATTAGTTCAGCAATAAATTTTATAATAATTCTTTATTAAATGAATAGTGGCAGATTTGTAGCTTCTATCATCACAATTTTAAGTTAAAATTAAAGAAATTGGAAAGAGATTTCAATTCTCTATAATTCTAGTCATTAAAATTAGTCTAGCAAAAATAATTAAAGGAATAAGAATTTGAAAGAAGAAGAAATAAAGCTAGCTACCTAATTTTCGGGTGATTTAAAAACATACTTCGAAAACCCAAGAATCAGTGATAAAACCAACTCAAAAAATAAAACAATTCAGTAGGGTAACAAGATATAAAATTAGCAAACAAAAGTAAGTAGCCTTCATTGTTACCAGTTATTTGAATAAATTCAAATTCAAATAACTAACTTGAATTTCTTATGGATGGCTTGCTTAGTTGCTCAGTTGTGTCTGACTTTGCAATTCTTTGGACTGTAGCCCACCAGGCTCCTCTGTCCATGGGATTTTTTCAGATAAGAATCCTGGAGTGGGTTGCCATTTTCTCCTTCAGGGTTTTTCATGAATAGGACATCAGAAAAATGGTTACTATCCCCAGTTAAATAAAATTTTATTTGATCCTAAGAAAAAATACTAATACTTTTTCCCCTGGTGCTGGGTGGATTGATTCTAAAGTTCATATAGTAAAAGAAGAGAACAGTCTAGAAAAAATCTTGAATTTTTTTTTTCAAGAAAGTTCTAAAAAAAAAAGAGAGAAAACAAAGAAGGATAACTAGCTCTATGAGATACTAGATCATACCATTAATCCTTCATAATTAAAAGAGTGCAGTACTGACATATAAATAAAGCAGTGGGACACAGAAGATAGAAATAGCTTAAGAAACAAATGGACATTTAGCATATGCTAAAAGAGCCACTTAAACTGTAAAAAGAAAAGAAGATGGACTTTTTAATAAGCTGTGTTAGAAAAACTAGAGAGCTGTCTGAGAAGTGACAATAAATGGACCGTCAAAGCTAAAACTGCCTCTTCTATCTCACAGCACATATCAAAATACACTCTAACTGGATCAAAGATTTAAGCGCAAAAATAATAAAACTATGTAAGGACAAAGTGAAAAAATAGGGAAATTCCTTTATAAGTTGATAGTGTTCAAGAACTTTCTCACTATGGTTCAAAATATAAATGAAATAGAAAAGTATTCAATTTACTTTTAAAAACTGCACAGCAAACCACATGAGTAGAGTAGAAAGATGAATGACAATCTTAAAGAAAATACTTGCCACATAACATCACTGATAAAAGTCTAATCTCTCTAATATGTAAAGGAAATTTATAATCAAGGGGGAAAAAGACCAAAAGGCTGATTAAAAAATGGGGAAGTCATAAAAAGTGAGTTCACAGAAAAAGTATAAAAATCATCCCTAAACATATGAAAAGTGCTCAATATTACTCATAATAAAGACTTGAAAATTCACTACACAGGGATATCATGTCTCATCTATCATACTGGTAAAACTCCAAAAACTTGATGACACATTTTTTTCATAAGCTGTGGGTAAACAGGTGTACTCAAACATTGATAGGGAAATTTAAAATGGTTAAACTTCAAAGGAGAAGAATTTGGTAGTATCTAACAAAACTACATTTATATTTTTCCTTTGACTTCACCATTCACCACCAGTAATACACCCTGTAAGTACAAAACAATATATGCCCAAAGTTATTACTGCATTATTATTTGTAATCACCAAATATTGTAAACAACCTGTGTCCATTCTTAAGAGATGGGTTGAGTAAACTATAGCACATCCATATAATGGAGTATTACATAGTATAAAAAATGAAGATAAAAAGAAACACAGAAAGATGAACCAGAAACTAACAAAGTTGATCACCTACAGCAGTGAGTGAAAATGGGGTGGAATAAATAAGGAATAAAATGAAACTCATCTGCATGTATCTTTTTTTATATACTTTTGACTTTTGAACCATGATGATTATTTACATACTTGACAAATAAAATAAAGTTCAGAAAAAGAACCATAAAGTTTAACACAAAATGACAGCTGAATTAAACACAAACAGAACAAAATAAATCTGTTTTTCAAACTAATAATCACAGACAAAAATTAAAAAGAACTCAAGTAATTTTCAAAAATAGTAGTCTATATACCCTCAGTGAGATATGTTGTAAAGCAGTAAGAATTACAAAGGAATCTTAAATTTTACTACTTTTGTTGTTAGTGAGGTACACAGCTAGTTATTCTAAAATTATTTTAGAAAGTTGTAAGAAATGGATAATTACATTAACATTGTTACAAACCAGAGTTTTCACTAGGAAACGGAAGATGTACATTGAAAATGGATGGAGGGAAAAAAAAAAATAAAACTGTCATTTTGGATTTGAATGGAAGAAATCAGTATAAAAATTTATGATTAAAAAAATGGTATTTTTATTTCTGTCCATTTAAAGTACTCAGAAGCAACAACACCCAGTAGTAATGAGCACATCTAGCATGCTAATCTTAGTTTCTAAAACCAGTACCAACAAAAGATACCAGGACTCCTTGAAATAACTTGTCCCAGGGCTGAGGCAGGTAATATTCAAGGTGAGCCTAGAATATTTTGTTGCACAAGAACAAAGGAAATCGACCAAAAACTGATGGAAACATGTCCAAAGACACAGAAATTTAGTTCAAAGGACTGCCTATATGCAAATCTGGGACAATTTGAGCATCAAAGATAATGATAATAATGTATTTATAACACATGACATAAAAAGAAATTCATGAGTCCAGTCCACAGAAAATCTTAAAAAGGAGAAGTTAAAGGAATGGGGTAACAGGAAGAGGAACCTCTGTCTTTTTTCCCCAGAATTTTATTAGCTAACAAATGAAGAAGAATTCCATTATTAGAAAGTTTCCACTTTCCAACCACCTACATAATAATTGACTCGGGGAAGCAACATTAGTGGACGCTAAAACGACTGCATGAAAAGTTACTGGGAAAAAGGCTATCCACAAGGTCTGAGTCATCCCCTCTATCATTTAGTAAATATTCATGGAAAAGACTATTTTCTCATTGGAGTAACCTGGAAGACACAATCTTACCTAAGCAATCAAACCTAACTGAAAATGAAACAAAACTGGCATTATATGCCTTCTGATGCAATGCTCTGAGGACACAGTCTTACTTATATATTATCCTTGTCCCAAATTATTTAACCTGAATCTAATATCTAAGGAACAAATGAGTCTAAATTGAGGGACATTCTACAATGGCTTATACTCTTAAACAATTTGATTAAAAAATGGGCAGAGGATTTGAACAGACATTTTTTCTAAAGAAGACATATGAATGGCTAACAGGGAAACAAGAAGATGCACAACATACTAATCAATTATAAGTCAAAAAAAATTTTTTTAAGTAGAGGAAGCTTTTAGATTGAAAGAGATTTAAAATATTAGCTGCTTGTCATGTGTAGACCTTATCTGGAACTTAATTCACACAAACAAATTAATGACATTTACAAATAATTGGAAATGTGAACACTGACAATGTTTGATGAATCGTTATTTGTTGTCAATTACCTTATATGTAATAATGGATTTTAGTTATATTTTTAAAGTACTTTTTTACAGAGACATAATAAGATAATAATACATATGATTTGTTTCAAGTAATACAAGAGAAAAATGAGAAGAGACATAGATTAAATAATACTGGCCATAAATTGATCATTCCTCAAGTGACCACCTGTTAAGACCAGCTGACCTGCCTCCTGGGAAATGTGTATGTAGATCAAGAAGCAACAGTTAGAACTGGACATGGAACAACAGACTGGTTCCAAATCAGGAAAGGAGTATGTCAAGGCTGTCTATTGTCACCCTGCTTATTTAACTTACATGAGTACATCATGAGAAATACTGGGCTGGATGAAGCACAAGCTGGAATCAAGATTGCTGGGAGAAATATCAATAACCTCAGATATGCAGATGACACCACCCTCATGGGAGAAAGTGAAGAAGAACTAACGAGCCTCTTGATGAAAGTGAAAGAGGACAGTTAAAAAGTTGGCTTAAAGCTCAACATTCAGAAAATTAAGATCACGGCATCCAGTCCCATCACTTCATGGCAAGTAGATGGGGAAACAGTGACGGACTTTATCTTTGGGGGCTCCAAAATCACTGCAGATGGTGATTGCAGCCATGAAATTTAAAAATCTTGCTCCTTGGAAGAAAAGCAATGAACAATCTAGATAGCATATTAAAAAGCAGAGACATTGCTTTGCCAACAAAGGTCCGTCTAGTCAAGGCTATGGTTTTTCCAGTGGTCATGTATGGATGTGAGAGTTGGACTGTGAAGAAAGCTGAGCACCGAAAGATTGATGCTTTTGAACTATGGTGTTGGAGAAGACTCTTGAGAGTCCCTTGGACTGCAAGGAGATCCAACCAGTCCATCCTAAAGGAAATCAGTCCTGAATATTCATTAGAAGGACTGATACTAAAGCTGAAAGTCCAATACTTTGGCCACCTGATGCAAAGAACTGACTCATTTGAAAAGACCCTGATGCTGGGAAAGACTGCAGGCAGGAGGAGTAGGGGACAACAACAAAGGATGAGATGGTTGGATGGCATCACCAGCTCAATGGACATGAGTTTGAGTGAACTCTGGGAGTTGGTGATGGACAGGGAGGCCTGGCGTGCTGCAGTTCATGGGGTCACAAAAATTCGGACACGACTGCAAAACTAAACTGAACTGAAAGTTAAGTGATAATTACCTAGGACTCACTATATTTTACATTTTTTCTTTTGTATATGCTCTAAATCTTCTATAATAAAACTTTAAAAAAATAGAGTTTAACAAAGATAGTGGCCAAAAAGTCAACATACAAAAATATGTTGTATTTCCATGCACCAGCAATAAAGAGAATACTGATGTCATTAAAAAATTTACATTTAAAACTACAAGGTATCTAAAATAAAACTCACAAGATTTTTATTAAA